CCGCCACAGGCTCCGCCGCTCCCGGCCGCGCGCTCTGCGTGACCCGCCCCCACCGGCCCGGCACTCCAGAGCGAGCCGAATCCAGCGCGCCTGCGCCGGTGCCTGCGCCTGCGCACACCTGGACCCGCGAAGCTTGCGCTCTGGCGACCTCTGCTGCCGGCTGGGAGAGCAAAGGCGTCCGGACGCCTTCGCCGTCTTTGGGCTTCTCCCGGCCCCTGGGGAGCAATTCGCCCTTCCTTTTCCTCGCCCGCACTTATTCATTTTACTCTCCTTTGGAAAATAAAGATCAACTAAATGTGCAGCGGATAGATCCCTTGCTTTGGTGTGAGATCCGAATTCGAATCCAGCCTTCACTTACCGTTAGTGTGATACTGGTTTAGATGTTTAAAGTCTCGAGTCCTCGGTTTTCCTGTATGTTAAATAGAGACCGCCTCCTAGTGGTTGCATTATAATTACACTTTGAGGGAAAATGGAATATCCAGCGCAACAGAACCAATCCATCCTAGTTCTCTTTGACTCCTGAACTACCTGGTTCTCCTGGGTCTGTTTCTACTTTCCTTCTCTCAGGCCCATCGGTGGTCTTTTCTCAAGATCTAATTCTCATCGTCCTGCTCCTCTGTCTCTGAACCATCTTCTTTGGAGAACTCTTTTACGACTTCAACTCTCACCTCTATGCTGATAATAACCGAATTTTCCATCAGCCCTGAGTTCTCATCTAAACCCCACTCCCAAATTCCACTTGTATTTTCTCCAAATTCAGCACATCAAAACTGAAGTCTTCATCTTTCCCTTCCCCCATTTAGATTAGTTTCTACTCCTGACGTCCCTATTTCTATCAATAGCAGCTTAGTTCTCCCTGTCAGTGTTCACAAAACCTTAGAATCAGAGTAAGCATAGAGAGAAGTTTCGGTTCTTCCCTATATCCACTAATTCCTGAAGTGGACTTTATTATTTATCGATTGCTGCATAACTAATGACCACACACTTAGCTGCTTAAAACACACACAGTTATCATCTTTGTGCTTTTCATGGGTCAGCAATCTGAGCACGGTTTATCTGGGGCCTCTGCTCAGGGTCTCACAAGGCTGCCGCTGAGGTGTCAGGCAGGCTGTGTTCTCATCTGGGGTCTTGACTGAGGAAGAAGCCATTTTTAATCTCGTTTAGGTTGTTAGCAGAATTAATTTCTTTGCTGCTTTATGAGTGAGAGCCCCAGCTTTTTCCTGGCTGTTGTCTGGAGGCTACCCTCCAGTTGTAGAGGTTGCACACAGCTCCTTGCCATGGGCTACTCCAACGCGGCTGCTCACTTCAGGGAGCCCTCAAAGAGAGTCTCTCAGCTCAGGGAAGGCCCAGGCTTCTTTCACTTAAGTAAGTCAGGGCCACTCAGGGCCTGGCCCCCAAATCAACTGATTTAGGGCCTTAATTACATCTGGAAAATCCCTCATCTTAGCCATATTTGTTAGCTACAAGCAAGTCAGAGGTGCTGCCCTCATTTAAGGAGAAGGGATTATACAGGGTATAAACAGAAGGGGCAAGAATCATGGGGCCACCTAGGGTCTGTCTGCCATCTGGCCCTCATCTCATATAATCCTTTGTTTTTTTCTTCTGAATTCCTCTAGCATCTGTGTGAGAGCTACTTGTATATACTCTGTATACAAGTAGTATATACACAATATACTCTGTGTAACGTTCATTTTATTTGTATGCCTGTGTGTGTGTGTGTTTGTCTTCTCTAACAAAATTATAAACTCCTTGTAGGTCTGTATTTCTCCACAGTTTCTTTCAGGATGCTAGACACATATTAAGCACTTATTAAATATCTGTAGGATAAAATAAACTAATGACCTAAATTACAAAAGCATTCATCATGGATAAATCCAACGATCATGCACTCATTCAACATTGATGAGAGGCAGTGGAGCTGAGTGACGGAGAACAAGGACACTGGAGCCAGACTGTCTGGGTTTGAATCCCAGCTCTGCTACTGCCTCTGAGACCTTAGGCAAGTGGCTTATGCTCTCTGGGCCTCAGTTTCCACATGTGTGACACAAGTAGGATACCAGCTTCTCCTTTACAGGGTTATTTTGAGGATGAAATAAGTTAACGTTGGAGAAGCATTTCAAACTGTGTTTGGCTTACAGCAGCACTATGCTTCTTGATTAAAAATTAAATGCCTACCCTGAGCCAGATACTGTGCTGGGAGCCAGAGCACAAAGATAAGCAAGACTGAGTCCCTGCATTCATCACACTCACAATCCAAAAGACGGGACATTACTTCTGTTTCTCTACCCACCATTTCAGAACTAAGAATGAAAACACATAGTTTACTATTACAGGGTACAAAATCCTTAGTCCATATTCAGATAATATTGAAAGACTATTTTATAAAGAATAAAAAATGTTTTCATTAAATGTATTCAGTATAGGGAAACATATTAAAATGTATTCAAGAAGGAGTTAACTTTCAGGACAATCCTTTTAAAACTGTGGAAAAAGAGACTTGTAGGCTGCTTAAGAACTTGCATATTTAGATCTCAGGAGTTACGGTGTCCCGATCATAGAGGGGGCAACTCCACTAAACCATGGTGGTCACCGGTCTGACAGTGTTCTGGTGCTTCCCTGTAAGACGCAGCTTCACAAACCACACTGCTTCCAGAGGAAGATGATCAAGATGATGCCCCAAGACTAGGGGCATTCAGCTTGGAAACTACTAAACTAGATCATGAGAATTCCTCTCCAGCATGGAAGCGTTCTCCAGTTCAGGAGGATTGGCATGTTTTGTGCTAGGGGATTGAATGAGGACTAGATTTCAGTAAATCATAGTGCTGGCTAAGGGGGCTCTGGGCTGTCTTTCAAAGAGAGATGACTAAAAAGAGCATTGGTTTTGAAGTCAGAGAAGCCTGAGTACTAACCCTAACTCCATGGAGCCCTGAGTCCTCTAACACTGGCCTCCTAGTATCTCCAGCTTCCTCTCAGGGCAGCGTTCCGGATGTCTCATATCCTTTCCAAGTGGTGGTAGGGGGGAGGGTTTGGGGGTGGTTTCCTTCAACCTGGAATGCTTTCCTCTTCTTTTCTGTGAATGCTTAGTGAACTTTTATTTGTCCTTCCAGACTCAGCCAGAAGCTGATCACAGTGACAAACCAGGCATTACCACTCCACTTAGCATATACACCCATTGGTACATTCGCCCACTAGAATTATATATTCACCTGTTTCTCACATGGGCCGTCTTTGAGGACAGGCCCATGCATCTTATTTATGTTTCTCTTTGTAGCATCTGGCTTGCAATAAATGTGGGATGAATGGACAAGTTTTTTCAACAACGAATATCATCACATGGCATCTCTGCCCTTGGATCAAAAGTCCTCAGTTTTGGGAATTACAGTCCTAGCAGTTACTTTTGCTACTGAGGCTGACACACTTTTCTCCATTGTCTTGTCCATTTGAACAACTATATTGCCAACACCATCATTTCTCTGATGTCCAAGGGAATCTATCCCCTAAATTCTCACTCTTTGGTAGCTGAAAAGCTGCTGCAGCTGAGATGCTGTTGAGCGTAGTAGGCAGAGCACACAGCGAGGATTCACAGAACAAAGGAGATTTCACCTGTCTAGCTCTGGCTCCCACCACCCCCTCCCGCCAGGCATCATCATCTCTCTGGGGTGGGGCGTTCATCCAATTTAGATTCTTGCAGAAGACGGTAATTTAGGTAGTGAGGTATAGTGGATGCTCAGCAAGCTATCAAAGCAGGCTAATTTCTTAACCCCTAAGAAAATATTAGTCAATGCACCACCAAAGCCATAATTTCCTTCCCTTTTATTGAACATCGTTTTAGTGTAGAACTATAGAATATTTCAAGACAGATACATAGGATTATAGTAACACTGGTTACTCCCAGCAGGAGAGCTGGGTGTCTAGCAGGCAGGGTGGAAAGGAGATTTTTTTCCTTCCCAAAGCCCTGCTACATAATAGTATATTCTAGTGTAAGTCCTTCTAGTTCTTCTACTTGAGCTGCTGTGACAGCACGGGCAACTAACAGACAGGGGGGTGGGGGAGGTGGGGGAGTTGGGGGAGGGTGCTTCTGGGACTGGGAAATTAACAGGGTCTTGCAAGTAGAGAGGGCCGAACTTTAACTGCTAGGCCATCAAGGCTGGCTCAAGACTTTTCACTTCTATCTTTTGGGGTTCGACCATAGAAATTCCTTCACTTCCTTCCATACAAACATAAGCCTATAATAATTTCATGTCTAACACTTTTTTCTTTTGAGGAAGATTAGCCCTGAGCTAACATCAGCCGCCAATCCTCCTCTTTTTGCTGAGGAAAACTGGCCCTGAGCTAACATCTGTGCCCATCTTCCTCTCCTGTATAAGTGGGATGCCTATCACAGCATGGCTTGCCAGCTGGTGCCATGTCCACACCGGGATTCGCACTGGTGAACCCAGGCAGCAGGGGCGGAACGTGGGAACTTAACCGCTGCGCCACCAGGCCAGCCCCTATGTCTAACACTTTGAAGGGATTGTTCAAGCAGCTTGTTATGGGGATGTTACTGTCAAATTAACATGGTTGAGGGAAAGCGGAGCTTAAGAACTTGGTCAGCAAATGACACTTGTGGTCTGTGAAGGAGGAAGTTCAACTCAG